TGTCATGGCAACATGTAATGAGTTTATTTTTATGTTTGAACTAAGGTAATAAGTAAATATTTTTAAGTTTCTTAGGTTAATCTCTAATACAGTAAATGTCAATAGATGGGACCCTCATAAACAGAAGCTCTTTGGGGTCCTCAATAACTATGGTCAGCCTCCTTTAACAGGGGCCCCGGTGCTTGTCCCAGGGGCTCCGAGGGGGCAGAACCATATGGAACCATGTGTGGGTGTGACAGCGTGTATACCCTCTCACCACAGTCACAAGCCACCCTCGCAGCCAGCCCAGAGCCCCCAGCATGGAACCCCCCCCGGGACCAACGAGCAATGGATACTCCTTGATGACGGTGGCAATATGCCACCAGGAATGCACTCCTGTGTGTCGACTTGGACTGGCTTTCCCTGCCCACCACGATCCCTCCAGCAGTACCGTCCACTACCTGGACACAGCCCTGCCACATGGCTATTCTGAGCACCCCACCCTATTAGAGGAACAGGAAAGTGAAGAGTTAAAGTGCCCCCTGGAGGGGCCGATGCTGACCACCACAAGGAGACAGGGCTGCAGGCGCCTAGTAGGGTGCTGGGGGACACAGGCGGGTCAGACTCCAGCGACCTCCAGATGCGTCCCAGAACTGCAGCCGGGGCGACTGGGAGACTGAAGCCCCCCCTCAGACGGGGCTTGGAGTGGCACGAGGAGGAGGACACCGTGGACACCAGCCTTGACCCGACGAAGAAACAAGCACCACCATGTTCACTTCCCTTCTGTCCTTGAAATGTGAATCAGTTTTCTGTTTCCTTCCTCTCCTTTCTCCCCGTGGTTGTGGGTAACTGCACAGTTCGGGGTCAGTGGTGGTTCAGTGCTGGGATTCTCGCCTTCCACGCAGGAAACCCGGTTGATTCCTGGCCAATGCACCTCATGGTAAGCCACCACCATCTGTCACTGGATGCTTGCGTGTTGCTGGGACGCTCAACAGGTCACAGCAGAGCTTCCGGACTAAGACGGACTAGGAAGAGCAGCCTGGCAATCTACTTTTGAAAATCAGCCAGCGAGAACCCTATCGATCACGATGGCCCCATCCCCAACTGATGAGATGGGGACAGCGCAGGACTGGGTAGCGTTTCATTCCATTGTGCTTGGGGTTGAGACAAGCTGGGCGCCAACTCAGGGGCAGCTAACAACTTCACAGTTCAGTTGTGAATGGCAGAGCATTGGGATGGGACCGTGCGGACTATTGTGGGGTGAGCATCAACCCCCAGCCTGGAAATGGTGCTGGATGCAGGACCCAACGAGCTTTGGGTGCCAATGTTCCACCCTCTGCCCCCTGGCCCCCCACTCCCTCCCCTCACCCCCATCCCCATCCCCCATCCCCACCACCCAACCCCTGCTTCACCAGTGGGGTGAGTGCCTTTTGTGCAGGGAGAACCATCATGCTGTGTTAAGTGAGAGCACTGTTTTGAGAGGAGGGGCATAAATACGGAATGACGGACTCATAAGGATCTTGGCGCCCCAAGGAAAGGGGTGGGCCATGTTTGAATCCCCTTCCAGTGGGGATTTCCTGAGTCTGTGTGGGAGGCAAGGCTGCACCTCCCTCTATGGACGTCAAAAAAAAAAAAAAAAAAAAAAAAAAAAATCCAAACCCAAATCAGTTGCCATGAAATCAGCCCTCACTCATGATGACCCCATGTGTGTCAGAGTAGAACTGGGCTCCATAGGGTTTTCAGTGGCTGATTTTCTGGAACCAAGGTATCTCCGGGTGGACTCGAACCTCCCACCCTTCTGTTAGTAGCCAGGTGCATTCATCGTTTGTACCACCCAGAAGCCAAAAGGGCAAGAAGCTTGGTGTTACTCTGGCAGCCAGAGGGAGCCACCCAGGACTCCAGATCTGAAGCAAGTGTCGGCCGTGCCCACTGGGCGCCCACACAGCCCTGTGTCCGTGATGGCAGCAGGACCTGACTAGTCCCCAAGGTCTGGATGTCTGCACCCCTGGGAGGCTGCTCAATTTCCAGGCCTGTCTCCTTGGCCTCCGCGTCTGTGCTGTGACTGCCTCAATCAAGTTCCGAGAATTCCTGGTCTCTGCTGGGCCTGCAATGCTACCTGCAGCCTGGAAGGCCTTGTGGACCACAGCAGGGCAACCTGTGCACCCTCCCTCATCCATCACCCATGACGCCATCATCAGCAGGTGCTACTCTTCTTGTCTGCTCCGTTCCGTGACGGGGAAACTAAGGCTCAGGGTGTTGACCTGACAAGGTCGCCTGGTTGTAGGTGGCAGAGCAGGACCAACTCTGGCAGGCTGACTCCCACACCCAAGTTGAGTGGGCGTGATGGGGGTCATGGGTGAGTCTCACTGGCTGGCGGGGACTTGGGCAGGGGGGGGGAGGCGGGTGGGCGTTCTGGCCTGCACCAGCAAGTGGATGCACACAGAAGCTCCCCGGGTGTTGGGATGTTGCTCAGGGAGGGCCTAGAGGGAGGGGGCAGCAGTCAGTACTTGCCGTGCCCCGACATTCAGAGGGGCTGGGTAGAGTCAGATTATTTGCTGAGCATATAGATTGAATATGTATGGTGAAAGAATACAACCCTGATGGACACCTTTCCTGAGTTTAAACCACACAGTGGTTTAAACCGTGCATTATCCCTTCCTTCCCTCCAATTTCTCCCATTTGTGATGGAAATGTCTAGCTTGTGCCTGTTCCACCGTTGTACTTCGGAGGCAGGTAAATTGTTTTCTAGATTTCACAGATGAAGAGGACTTTTTGGATTTTGGACTTGGACATGATTTAAGACTTTTGCTATGATGGGGTGAAGGTGTTTTACTTTGGCAAGGACATGAATTTTGGGGGGCCAAAGGGTGGAATGTTATGGATTGAACTGTGTGCCCTGAATATGTGTGTCAACTTGTCTGGGCCATGATTCCCAGTATTGTGTGGTTGTCCGCCGTTCTGTCATCTGATGCGACACCATTCCTCTCCAAGTCATCATTCCTGGCGTAGTAGACCATATGATTGTCTGATTCAAAATGGCCAGTACCAGTCCATTTCAGCTCCCTAATGCCTAGGATATCTACCTTCAACCTTCGTGTTTAATTTTTGATGACTTCCAATTTTCCTAGATTCTTAGTTTGTACATTCCACATTCAAGTTATTAATGGATGTTTGCAGCTATTTCTTCTCATTTTGAGTCATGCCATGTCAGCAAATGAAGGTCCCGAAAGCTTTACTCCATCCATGTCATTCAGGTGGACTCTACTTTGAGGAGGCAGCTCTTCCCCAGTTGTATTTTGAGTGTCTTCCAAGCTGAGAGTCTCATCTTCCCACACTATATCAGTGTTCCACTCCTACTCATAAGGTTTTCACTGGCTAATTCTTTTCAGAAGTAGACTGCTGGGTCCTTCCTCCTAGTCTGTCTTTGTCTGGAAGCTCAGCTGAAACCTGTCCACTGTGGGTGACCCTGCTGGTATTTGAAATACTGGTGGCATACCTTCCAGCATCACAGCAACACGCAAGCCACCCCAGTACTACAAACTGACAGACAAGTACCTGTCAAGTTCAGTCTAGAAAACCCTATGTGGCAGTTCTACTCTGTCACACGGCGTCGCTATGAGTTGGAATTATTTGAGGACACACAGCAACTGTTTTAAAGCACCGACAGACCTCCAGGTCACATTATCAGTGTGCAAGAGCTCGATTATGGGGATGGTGAAGGACCATGCAGGGTTTCGTTCCATTGTGCATGGGGTTGTCTTGAGTTGGGCGTCAATTCTAAGGCAGCCAACAAGAACCCCTGAAGGCATCAGAAAGCTCTAGTCACAGGCCTCCTGAAGCCACCGCCCCCAGGCGCACAGGGTCCCTTGGAGGGAGCAGTGAGGTGGGGTCAGAGGACCTGGGCATATGGGGCAGCCCAGGGGTCTGTGGGGGAGACCAGGGGTCCTGGGGGACGAGGACAGAGCAGGGGCAGGATGGCTGGGCTGCGAGTTTCCCATGGAGGGGCCGACTCCCAGGAAGGGTCATGGACCTCGGGAACCAGCAGAAGTCTGGACCTAGCCCCCACCCCAGGCTCCCTGCGTCCTCCTCCCAGAAGCAATGCCTCCACCTACCCAGGTCTCCAAACTGGAGGGCGGAGGTTGCTAAGTGTATCCTCCCTTCCTGCCTCCCCCCTCCGTTCCCCGGAGCGCCCAGGGTGGGCACCTTGCTCCGGCCTCCTGTCCACCTGGATCACATGCCCTGTGGCAGCTGCCTTGACGTCCCTTGGTGCCTTGCCTAGGTCAGTCCAGTGCTGCCGACCTGCTGGAGTGGAGGGAAGGAAGGGGCCGGGTTTTGGCAGGTTCCCTGGCCCTTGTGTTCCCTCGGACAGGTCTGGGCCACATTCCATGGCCTGGCTCTGTGCCCTGCAGGATGGGGCTGGGAGGCCTGACAGCATCCATCTGTCAGTCTGCAGAGAATGCTGGGCTGGGACGCAGAGCCACCTGACTTCAGGCCAGTGCCTAGCTGGACAGAGGTCTGGCTGGCCTCCACGAGGCAGGGAGGGGCCCCGCTCGGACCACTAGACACATGGTTTAGCACAAAAGATGCCTTTATTGGTTCATAGATCCAAACACTGTTCCGCCTCCTCCTTCAGCAAGTCAGCCTCATTCCCTGCCTCTTCGGGACTCCAGACTCAGACCCTCACACAGGGACCCGAGGAGAAGGGGCTCCTGCCCGCCGCCTGCAAGGTCTGTTGGGGGAAGGGCTGTGATGTGGCGCTGCCGGGCCACGGGCTGCCCTAGGCCCATCGCTCAGGCCAGGGAGCACGTGGGAGGCATGGGGGTGACAGGTGGTCCTGAGAGCTGCAAGGAGCCAGGGTCATCCCGGCAAACCACAAGGGTGGTGGGCAGTACGCCGTCTGCGTCTGCCACGGCAGGGTTGGTTAAGGCACTTGCGGCTGGCTGTGTGCTGCTGGGGGGAGGCCGGAGCCACTGGGGGACCCTCCCTGCCCCCATGGGGACACCCATCTCAACAGAGCACAGCTACTTCTTTCGCCGGGGGGTCCGTGCCCCGCTGCTGCAGCTGTCCGGGGCTGGGGTGGCCTGTTCACCGGCAGCTCCTGGCTCCTTCTTGGGGGCTGCCTTGTGTTTTTCCTCCCTGCTGGGGGGTGGGGAGTTCGGGGCCAGCAGGGCCTGCACCACCCTGATGGCCCCCACGGCCGCAAGGAGCCCCCAGAGCAGGGTGGGGGCCTTCAGGGGAGACAGCTGGGTCCGCACCCAGTGCAGGGCCTGGGGCAGGAGGCTGCTGGTGCTGCGGGGTCGTGGTGGGCTCTTGTCCTGTAGGAGGTGCCCACAGTGAGGGCGGTCCAGGGAGAGTGGTCACCCCAGCCTCCCCCAGCCAGCTGATGCCTCCTACCTGAAGCCCAAACTGCGCAAGCAGTGTCTCCAGCGTGGGGTCCCCCAGGGCCACAGGTGGGAAGAACTGCTCTGCCCACTGACGGTGCCACCACTGGCTGCAGCAGGACCGGCGGTCAGTGTGGGGACGGGCCGGGTCCCCCACCCACCCAGCGCCTCAACTTACTGCTGCTCCCCAGGTGGCGAGAACCAGTACTTATAGCGCTGGGCGCGAACGTAGGTGGGTGGCTGCTTGTGGAAGGGGTACCTGGTGAGGTCGTTCTGTATCAGGCGGATCACTGCAGGATGGAGAGCCAGGCTCAGCCTTGGCCGCCCCAGATCCCCACCCTCCCCTGGTCGCCCCACCTGTGACTGGCCATCCTCTTTCACATCCCCGCTCTTTTTCCATCCCGGCCCTCCCCCACCTGCACGGCACCCCCATCTAGCCCTGCCCCCTCCGCATCCTACCCCACCCTCCATCCATTCTTCCTTCCACCTCGGCCCCGGCCCCCTCACCAGACTCCTGGCCCTGCAGCAGTCGGAGGACCAGGCCGGTGAACCAGGGGCTGTGCGTGTGTGGCCCCAGCGCCGCAAACCACATCTGCCAGTCGAGGCGCGGTTGGTGAGGCGTCACGATGGGCGGTGGCCGGCTCGTGTTCCCGGGTTTGTACATGAACTCGATCTCCTGTCACGTGCAAGGCCGCAGATAGTGGCCAGCTGGGCCCACGTCCACTCGGCCACCCACCATGGAGCCCATCCGCGGGGGGCTCACCGTCCAGTGGTGTCCGTCGTAGCTGCCCTCCAGCACCACCTCGGGCCGCCCACCCAGACCGGTCATCCGGCGGAAGAGGCCATAGGAGTTGGCCAGCTGCAGGTGCTCCACGGCACCAAAGAGGCGATGGGCCCCGGTCCAGAGGCGCCCGTGGGTGCCCGGCTCCATGTAGGAGTAGGGTACCTAGAGGCGGGTGGGCAGAGGCTCAGTGCGGCCCTGAGCACCTGCAGTGCAGCCCTGCTTCCCCACGCCCTCCTCCCCTAGCTACCCACCAGGCTGACAGTGAATAAGGCCACTGTGGCCATGCCAAAGATGGACAGCTGGACCGCAGACCAGAGCTTCCACAGCCACCCACGCACCTGTGTCCACCTGGGGGGAACTGAGAGCAGTTAGGCCTGCGGGCACACCGTGGCCACCCCCACCCCCCGTCTCTGGCCCATGTACCTCCAGAGGGCAGTCAGCAGCTCCCAGGTGAGGGAGGCCCCGCCCAGCCACATGGTGGGCAGGGTCACTGCCTTCAGCCACTGGGAGAATTGGTGAAAGGTGAAATCTGCAGGGAAGGGGGCCGGGGCAGGTGTGAGGGCAGGCAGGTGTGGGGGGAACAGCCTGCCCTCCCACCCCCAGTGGGTGCTCACTGGTTCTGGAGTGGATGGCGCGCTGCTCCCAGTCCATCTCCAGGCTGAAGTAGTGGGTGGTGCCGTAGGCCAGCAGGCCATAGACGGCCAGCTCCAGCAGGGGGGCCAACATGGTCAGCAGGGCCTTGGGCCAGGCTGTGGGGAGGGCGGTTATGGCTGACGGGGGATGGAGGTGGGGGACTGGCAGCTGGGGGGCTGTGGTGGAGCTAGAGCAGGGGCCATGGGGCATAGGCAGTGGGGTGAGGATAGGCTGGAGCTTACAGGTGGGCATCTTTGTGCGGCGGCCACGGCCCCGCTCCACACCCAGGTGCTTGTCGTCCAGCAGGGAGGTGCAGAGCACCAGGGTGAGCAGGTTAAAGAAGTTGTAGTTACCCGTGATGATGATCAGGACTTGCAGCAGGACCTGGTGGGGGGGTCTGCGCTCAGAGCTTCCGAAGGCTGCCTGCCCCTGGAGCCCTCGGCAGTCTGCTGCACCTGGCCCCTCCACGTACACCCTGACCACCTCCGCCTGGGTCTCCACTGCAGACAGCCCTCCCTGCCTGCTCTGCCTCGGAAGGGCACCCTCCTCTCCATCCCCTGGCTTGTTTCCACCTCATCTGCCCTAAGCCCCTGCTTGACTCTTCCATAGTGCTCCTGCTCTCAGCACATGGTAAGTGGCCCTTCCCCGCCGGGCCCCTGCTGACCTAGAGACGGACATCCTCAACACAGCTGCAGTCCCCCCACCGCAGGCCTACACCTTTACACGCCCCTGTCTTTGCGGTCGCTGTCCCCTGTCCCGGAGTGCTAAGTAGGTAGGGCCCTGCTTGGGTCCTCGAAGCTGAGCCCCGCCCACCTGGGAGTAAAAGGCTGCCAAGCGCACGCGGCGGAGCGGGGCGAAGAACAGAGGTGGCACCGCAATCTCGATGAGGAAGGTGGCTGCCACGCTGAGCCTCTGCAGCCAGACGGGCAGGTGGTGGGCGAACCAGGCAGCGGGTGTGGGCAGGCACTGCGTCTCATAGTGGTAGGTGAGGGCTGCAGGGCGAACGGGCAGGCAGAGGATCAGGGCCGGCAGGAGCTCCCAGACCACCCCAGTCCCAGGCCAGGATCCTCACCGGTGAGCCCCCACCATGCGGGGCAGCGGCTGGTCAGCTTGACCACGCCCGAGGCAAACATGAGCCGAAACAGCAGCCAGCGCACTAGCCAAAAGGGGAGGTCCTCGTGGGGCGTGGCTCCTGTCGGCCCGCCCTGGGGGGCCTGCTTGCGAAGGGGGGTCTGCCTCAGCGGGGCTACCAGCACAGCCAGGAAGCCAGTCTCCAGGAGCAGGGAATCCCTATTGGAGAGAAAAGAGTACAGAGCGCTCCCCTCACCGAAGTCGCTGCCCTCAGAGGGTTCTCCTGCAGAATGAGACAAACTCACCCAGCCCTCCTGCAGCCCGAGCCCGGAGCCACTCACCACTGGAAATAGAGGAACACCTGGCCCACCTGCAGGGAGAGGCGCTGTCAGGGGGCAAAGGAGTGTGTCTGGGTGCCGGGCTGGGCAGAGACGTGGGGGTGGGGAACAGGAGGTGGCCCCACTTGCCTGGTAGGCTGACAGGTAGGCGGCCCAGAGCAGCAGGTAGGTGAGGCGGTGGCGCAGCGGGCGCAGCAGCAGTGCGCCCAGGGCCAGCAGCGTCCCCAGCAGGCTCAGCAGCTCCAGGCCCTGCGCGGTGTCCAGCCCCAGCCTCGGCACTTCCCACAGCAGCGTCGGCATCTCCCACAGCTGCTGCCAGCGCCCCTTGCCCTGCGGCCGCAGTGTCCTCCGAGCCGGCAGGATGCCCTCGGCACCATATAGGCCTGTGAGAGGGCATGTCAGGACCAGGACACTGTCCTTGCAGGCTAGGACCCCCACCCCAGGTCAGGGTCTGCAGACCTCCCTACCCCTCACCTGACACCCTAGCTCGGGTTGTCCCACCCAGCAGAGCCCAGCTCCCCTCCCCTACTGGTCAGAGCCCTCCCTTCCACATGCCCCACCACATCTGGGCGGACGCTTCTCCCGCCCCGTCAGGTTCTGCCCCCCGCCCCAGATCAGAACCCGGAAACGTGTGGGAAACGGACCATTGCTCTCACGTCTATCCCCACCATCCCCGCGGCCAGCAGGATACGAACCGCTGCCCCCTACCCCACGCACTAAGGCCTGAACCTCACTCCTGTGCCCCGCCCCCCCGACGGCGGAGCGTCGCCCGGGGCAAGGAGCGGACACAGGGCCCCGAGCGCGGATCGGGGGGTGTCCCGCCCTCGGCGCCCTCACCCGGGATCTGCATGTAGAGGGAAGCGAAGGCGAACATGAAGACGGCGGCCACGCCCTGGAGGAAGAGCTGCTGCGGGAGCCGGGAGCCCGCCATGTCCGCTACGCGGCGGGCCGGATAAGAGCCAGCCAGCGCCCCAGGCCCCGCCCCGAGCCGCCAGGCCCCGCCCCGCCCCAGCCCGCCGGAGGCAACTGCAAGTCTCGTCGCTTTGCTGGCTCCGCCCCGCCCCAGCGCCTGCCCCACCTGCAGCGCGCGCCGCGGCCTGTCTCCCTCTCGGGCCTCGCCTCGCGTGTACGCCATAGGTATGCGCGCGGCGACGCGTGCTACGTACTTTCCTGGGCGGGAACAGCAAAATGGCGCCAGAACTAGCGGCGGGCTGAAGACACCGGCCCCCTTCGGAAGCCGATCCTGCGGTCCCGGCCCGCCCCTGCCGCGCGCCCAGCCCCTCCCGGACATGGAGGACGTAGAGGCGCGCTTTGCCCATCTTCTGCAGCCCATCCGTGACCTCACCAAGAACTGGGAGGTGGACGTGGCGGCCCAGCTGGGCGAGTATCTGGAAGAGGTAATAAGGGCGGCGGGGGAGCGGCGCGGGGCGAGCGGGTTGGATCGCGGGCTGGGCCGTGGGCGCCGCCGCCTCCACGTTGGTGGCCACTCCGGCGCTCCGGCTTCGCTTGTCCTCAGGCTCCTTACCGCTTCTTTTTCCCAACCCGATCATTGTCTTCCGAAGTCATCTTGTGAAATTAGCCTGGAGTCGTAATTGCAGGTTGCTGCCCATTAGTGAGCCATGAAGTCGATTGAGTTGTGACCAGCGTTTTTCACTGACGAAATAGAGCAGACTAGAAAGTATTAGAGTTCATTTTGTTTTAGTTATTGTGTGCAGATTTGTGTATGTGTGTGTGATAGATCTGGGTCATTGTGTAAAAGGATTTCTTACGGCCGGTTTTCAAACCACTTTCCAGCCACTGCCATGTTCCATCCTGTCAGCATTAATCGTTGTTGCGTATTTGACAGCCGTGCCAACCCTTTGCGGTTGTAATTCCGATTCATAGCGACACCATAGGACAGAGTGGAACTGCCCCATAGGGTATCCAAGGCTGTAATCCTTACGGAAGCAGACTGCCACATCTCTCTCCCGCTGAGCGGCTGGTGGGTTCCAACGCCAACCTTTTAAATAGCAGCCGAGCGCTTAACCACTGTACGACTTCTACTAGGGAGCTGTCCCCTCCACATTCGCACCTTCCTCTCCTCAGCCCGCCCAGCCTGGCTTCGGCTACACTTAAACTGCTCTTTTCTCAATCAACCACGACCTTTATTGTACCAAATCCGACAGACTCTAACAGTGTTATCTTACTGGAGCAGCAGCCTTTGTTGGAGTTGATCGCTTCCTCCTATTGAAACATTGTCTTTTCTTGTGTTGCTTGACAGGGCGTTCTGATTTTCTTTTTATGTCACTGGGTTCTTTTTTGTCCTATCTAATCTCTAAGTGCTGAGCTCCTCAGGGCAGGGGCCTAGCCATATTTTGGCACTTCCCATCTCAAACAATCTCATTTATTTCCATGATTTTAAATAATATGTGTATGATTATAACTCCCAAATGTGTATCTCCACACAGATTTTTCTTGTGAATCTATTTTTGTGATTCCACTGAGATGTCACATAAGCATTTAAGGCATTTAAGGTACAACTCTTTATTTTTCTGCTCAAATCTCAGTCACTGATTTCAGTAAATGGCACCATTGTTCAACCAGCTATTAAAGATGAAAGGTAAGAGCTGTTCTGGCGAAACCCCACGCTGTCCACCCCGTTTATCCGTGGATTCTGTCTGCTTTTCCATCAGAGTATTGCTTGAATTCAGCTGCTCTCAATTTTCACTGGTCCAGGCCACCAGCATCTCTGAATCATGTGAATCTTCGCAATAGCTTCCTACCTCTGCTTTTGGCCCCCTGCAATCCATGTTCCATCCAGCAGCAAATGTGGCTCTTAAAAAGTAAAATCCGGCCACATCCCTTCGCTGCTTAAAGCCTGTCCTTGGCTTTCCACTGCACTTGGAATAAAACCCAAGCTCCTCCCTGTGGCTTCCAGGCCCTTCTGGGTCTGGCCCTGCTACCTTTCTAGCCTGATCTTAGGCCAAAAGCACCTTATGTGCGTAGTTCCACCCAATCATTTGGTGGGAGTTACAAGACCATGCATGGCGAGAAAGGCCGTGTAAAACCGATCCGTCGCACTGCAGTGTTGTTGAGTGTCCCCCAGCGTTAGACCCTAGGGAATAGTGGACAGCAGCGCAAACAACAGCTCCTGCTTTAACAGGACCCCCAGCTGGCTGGGTAAGATGAGTCTCAAAGAAGTAGCTACACGGAGTCGGAGGTAACATACTGTCAGGGCTTGCTTGTGCTCTGCACACACGAACTCACTTAATCCTCACGAAACCCCTGTCGGTGTAGGTGGTTCTGCCCCTTCTCACAGGTGAGGAGGACGAGGCCCAGGGAAGTTGGTCGTGCCCAGTCACGCCTGGCAAGGGGCAGAGCAGAGTCCATGTTCCTGACCACTGCACAGCATCTTTGTGTAATCACAGACTACATGAGCTCTGAAAGAAAAGTTTGGGCTTCCATGAAGTGTTTGACTGGGGACCTCTCTTGTTTTGTGATGAAAGGAACTGCCTAGTCAAGTAAGCCAAAGAACATTCCAGGCAGAGGGACAGGGGCGGGAAGGCTCTGAGCAGGCCTGTGTGGCCACGTGGCTCTGTTTACAATTTTGGATTTTCCATTAGGGTTCTGAGGGTGCATTGTGGTCCGCTTTAGGACGAGCGCTGGCTGGAGTGTGGCGTGTAGGCAAGGGAAAAGAGGGTAGGAGAGCCCTGTTGGATGCTGTGGTCCAGGCCAGAAGTGGAGCTGGCTGGGCGAGAGCAGGGCCGTCACCCACAGTGGAGTGACAGAGTAGGTGTGGGCAGAGCAGGGCATTGACAGGGAACCAGGACAGGTGCGAACAGTAGGTGAGAAGGAGGGAAGGGGCTAGACTCCACGGCTTCTGGGCAGGTGGTTTGTGTGGGAGGTTATCTAGACTTCAGTGTGGACTTGTTTAGTATGAATTTCCATTAAGACATCCAAATGGACATTTGAAGAGGGCATTGGACATGCGGGTTTGGCTTAGAAGGGAAGTCCAGACTGGAGCCGTGTTTGGGAGTTGTTAGAAGCGTAGACGGGTGGTGTGGGTGGCTCCAGCCTGCCCCTTCACATGCCGGGTCCTGATGCTGTGCTTCCCCCTATGATGGTGCTTCTCTGTCCTCCCTCCCCGCTGACCCGACACGCTCCTTTCTCCTTTCAAGAGTCAGTGAAGCATCTTCCCTTTGGTGGCATCTTCCCAGGCGCTCCGCCTTCTTTGTGATGCTGCATTTGAGGAGTGTTTCTTTTCCTAAGCTGCTGTACCCTTTCCGGCTCTCCACCTTCGCATGGTAGCCACTTCCTGCTAGGCCTTCTCCCTTCGTCTGCCTGGCGAGTGTCTGTCCAGTTTTCAGGTTGAGCTCTGACATCACCACTTCGCTTGTGTCAGGCTCCAGACCTGGGGCTGGGATTACTTTAAAGCAGCTCCCGGCCCAGTGAGGGGACGAGAGAGGCGTGGGATGGCTCCAGTGCAGTGAGACTGCCCTGGTGGAGTGAGGAGCTGTGTGGGGGTAGGGCCCAGAGCTGGGTCTGCGTCTGCAGGAACACGTGGGGGGCCTGCAGACGCTTTCACATTGGAGCCGAGTCCGGGGCACCTGTGTCTGGGGGACGGCTGGGGGAGGGTGTCCTACGGCAAAGCAGGGGCAAAAAGCCTTGGGGAAATAGCAGGGGAGCCTTCAAAGTGCCCCTCACAGAGGAGCACAGTGGAGGGCCGGTTTGGGGGGACGGTGAATCAGGCCTGGAGATGGAGGGTCAGGGACACGTCTTGGTGGAGCCATCCAGTAGGCAGCAGGAGAGGGGCCTGGAGGTGAGGTCTGAGAATCGTGAGTGCAAGGCTGGCAGTCTGGCAGGCTGGCGAGTCCATGGGTGAGCAGACAAGTCGTGAGGAGAGGAGGGCCAAGGGCAAACCCTGGGTGCTAATGTTTTGGGGTGAGCAGAGGAGCGGGCACTTGGAGAAGGCCAGGGTGGTCGAGGGGAAGGGAGAGAGAACTTACCTGAAGAGTCTCCTGGGTTCTCTGCTCCAAGGATGGAGACCCTGTTCTGTTTGTGATCCCCACCGCCAAGAGGTTTCCCTTCTCTTAGGATGGGGGTCTGTGTGCTGGAGACTGGTAGCATGGGGCTCTGACTTGGGGGAGCATCGTGGAGTGCCCTCCCCGTGCCTCACAGGAATGCTAGTGGCTCTGGCCGTTTGGTAGACAGTCAGCTCTGGGAGCCTCCCTTTCAAAAATGCTAGGTCCCGGAGATTACAGAAAGTAGGCGAAATCACAAAGGCATCCCCCCTCCTCCCGAAAAGGTGAACCCACAGTGGAGTCAGAGCTGTCAGTCAGGGGAGGGCGGACTGCTCTGGGCAAGTGGCAGCACCTGGACCCTGTGCTGTCCGAGTCACTAGGTGGGGCTGCAGAGGGGGAGGGGGGGCTGCAAAGGGAACGGGGTGGGGGGCTGCTAAGGGGG